GGGGCAGTGAGTTGAAGATAATGGTGATGGAATAATTTGGAAAAGGATAGTGAGAATAGCAGCACAACTGGAAGAACGTAATCGATGTCACTGAATCATACATGTAAAAACTTATGAGATGGTGTAACTTTGGCTATGTATATTTTCACCAATAAAAAGGTCCTCCAAGATCGAGAAGGGACAGTGTTGACATGTCGTGGGGTTGTTAACCAACGTCATAAAACAATATGTGTACTGACTGTTTAATGAGAAACTATCTGTTCTGTAGACCTTCATCGAAAGCACAATAAAAAAAATTAAAAAAAAAAACTTCACAACTGGACCAATAAGCAACATCATGATAAATGGAGAAAAGATTGAAGTTCTCAAGGATTTCATTTTACTTGGATCCACAATCAATGCTCATGGAAGCAGCAGTTAAGAAATCAAATGACGTATTGCATTGGGAAACTCTGCTGCAGAAGACCACTTTAAAGTGTTAAAAAGCACTTGGAGGACTAAGGCGCGCCTGACCCAAGCCATGGTGTTTTCAATCACCTCATACGCATGTGAAAGCTGGACAATGAATAAGGAAGACTGAAGAATTGATGCCTTTGAATTACGGTGTTGGCGAAGAATACTGACTACACCACGGATGCCAGAAGAACGAACACATCTGTCTTGGAAGAAGTACAGCCAGAATGCACCTTGGAGGCAAGACTGGCCAGACTTCGTTTACATACTTTGGATATGTTATCAGGGGGGTTCAGTCCCTGGAGAAAGACATCATGCTTGGAAAGGGGAGGGTCACTAAAAGACAGGAAGAATCTCAACAAGATGGACTGAGACAGTGGCTGCAACAATGGACTCAAGCATAACAACGATTGTGAGGATGGCGCAGGACCCAGCAGTGTTTTGTTCTGTTGTGCATGGGGTCACTATGAGTCAGAACTGACTCAGTCGCACCTAACAACAACAAAAACAGTTTAAAGTTACCTGGGGTTCCCTGAGAATGGAAGACTGCGAATAAACAAGACAGGTGGTGGTCCTGGGGTCTCTGAGAAGGGATATTAAAGTGAAGGGAGTGGGTTGGAGCCCAAGAAGTCATGGGAAGACAGTGGGCAGTGCTGTACGAGTTTCCAAGCTCCTCTGGTTGCAAAGAGAAGTCCCTAAGGAGCATGCTACCCTCCATCCAGGATGAGTCTTGGGGTTTCCTTCTCCTCAACACTCTCCCCTTACACAAAGTCCAAACAAGTGCCAAAACCAAAACCTAGGGGGGAGGAAGAGAAAGAGGAAGGAGAGAGATGAAGAGAGGAAGGGAGAGAGTGTCTCTGCACTGATAGATTGGCAGATGGTTGAATGGACAAAAGACGGAGGCTGGGTTGAAGGAAGGAAGGTGGGAAGACAGATGCTTGGACTGCCAGGTGTGTAGACCACTTGGTGGGTGGTAGGAGGATGGACGGGAGACAGGAGGAGGAAGAATGGATGGACAGAAGGATAGATGGTTACTGTGGTGAGTACATACCTGGGCAGAAGGAAGAGTGCATGACTGGGTGGATGCATTCTCTTATGGGTGGATAGCTGGATAAGGCAGAAGGGTGGAATGAACAAAAGGAGAGGTGAGAAGAGGCAAGATAGTTGTCCAACAGAGGATGGAGGGAGCCAGGAAAAGAGAGCTAATGTAATGGAGTGGCGTGGAGTAGAATGGAGTGGGGTGGGATAGGGAAGGGAGGGGAGGCAGGCGAATGGGTAACTTGGAAGAAGTACTGTACAGAATAGGCCAAGAAGATGGAGAGACAGAGGGAGGGAAAGAAGCAGGGATGGAAGAATCAGGGGAGGGAAGGAGGAAGGAAGAAGGTCTATGCCCTTGTGGAGTTTTTATTCTAGTGAATTTGGAGAGGACTGACATCTTCACTGAATTTTGTCCTTTCTAAGATGTTGCATCACCCAATTATCTTTTTGATGTCTTTATTAAAAAAAGTGTAATTTTCTCCAAAAAGAGCTATTACATTTTTTGTTAGGTTTAATCTTATTCTATTTATTTTGGTTGCTATTATAGGTAAGTAACGTCTAGTTTTAAATTACATTTCTAACTGAACTTTAATAGTATATTAAAATTCAAGTGACTTGCAGATTGATTTTGTATCCAGCTAAACTGTCCACTAATTAATTG